ATCGTTCAAAATATGAATGTTCATTGGGGTTTTTTCCCGATTTTTTTCACTATTTTACCACTTTAACTAGTTATACAAGTCATAAGAATGTATCCAACATGTTTTATAAAAGTTCAAGAAGTTATTTAACATGTTTTGGATTGTTCAAGGAATTATTTGTTCCAAAAATTGTCCAAGAAGTTATTTAACATTTTTTGGAATGTCCAAGGACTTATTTGTTCCAAAAATTGTCCAAGGACTTATTTAACATGTTTTGGAATGTCCAAGGACTTATTTGTTCCAAAAAATTGTCCAATGACTTATTTAACATATTTTGGAATGTCCAAAGACTTATTTGTTCCAAAAAAAAGTCCAAAGACTTAATCATTCCAAACAAAAAAGTCTATTGGTTTTTATTGTACTTTTTTCCGAGATCAAATCAACCAATTAAAATGAGTATTTTAATAAATTTAAATGCAACGAAATAAAATAATTAGATAATTTTATGCTTGTGTTTAGAACGTTGTTCCCGATGAATAGTGACCTGCGAAACTTGAGGAGGGCGATGGCGCCGCTCTCGTACCGTTGTCAGCAACAACCAAGTAGTTCATCAGTGACTAGTGTCCATCACTGAAATGGATCGGATGAAATCTTCCTTAGAATTAATCGAATTCAACTCAATGGCGTCTTCTTCATCTTCATGGTGGCAATCGTTCCTCTCTCCGGCCAAGAGTTCCTTCACCGCTCTCTGCTTCAAACGCCTCCAAGAATACGGTTAATTTTCACAATCTCAATCTGTATCGAATTTTTATCCTTAATGTATAACGTTTGATGCTTAACGAACGTATAATTGAATATCGAGTTGGAAATTTTGGGTAGATGAGTGTGAGCCTACTCTAGGGTTTCTCTGTTTGATTCGTTTCGTCTTTTCCCCCAAATTCGGGAGTGCTTGTCATTCCCCTTTCTCATCTGTGCGATTGATTTTTTTGTGGTATTCTGTGTGATCGATTTCTGTTCCTAAAAGAAATTAATTCTGATGATAACCATACACTTTGATTTTGTGAAATTTTATGAGAATACGATGAAACCCATATTACTCTTTAAAATTCTCACTTGGTATCAACCATTCTACCTGGGACTAACAGGCCTTTCACCGACACTTCCCGGTAGGCGCTTGCCGGTAAAATTCAACATTATCTCCTACTTACTGGTAAGATTTTAGTCAAACAAAAGTGGTATCGTAATAACAATTTACCTGGTAAGCGCTAAACGTGGTAAGAGTTGTCCTTCACTTACCGGGTAAGACTCTCGGTTCTTGCCTTGCTATCCTTGGTTCTTGCCATATTCATCCTTTTTACCAAGGGCCTTTGGTCTAGCGGGATCACAGTCTTCGGGTCAGGGGTTCAAACCTACCAAGATGAGGAGGGTGTGTGAGTTTATTTGTTGCATTTGCTGTATATACATATTATATACTTCAAAAAAAAAGATAATGTGACTTGGTAGCGCTTACTCAAGTAAGCGTATCGTAAACGGCCCCCTATTCTACAATCTATGCCGGTAAGGTAATGTTAGAACTTCGCTTCTCTCCTCAAAGGACCTTTCTTTGGGAAGTAATCGAGTTTCACATATTCCCTACATGGTATTAGAGTCGAGGTCTACTACTCTTTAAGTACTCTGACACGTTGGGACAAGATGTATCCATCTAGCCCCCTCTTAACACTATGGGACAATCTGTATCCGTCTAGGCCCCTCTAAACATTGTCGGACAATCTGAACCCATCTAGCCGCTTCTGGAGGGGGCTGTGTTGGAGTCTCACATCGGCCAGACTTGGACATATCATCCTCAATATATGTTGGAACTTTCCTTCTCTCCTTATGGGCTCTTTTGGAGAGTAGTGTAGAGGGGTTCCACATATTCTCACAAATTGTAGTATGGGTTCTTAAATGCTTTCTAAACTATTTCTTTTATAAATTTTTAACAGCCATTAAAGCCAAAGTTAAGGTGATGAGATTACCAGAAGAGAAGAAACCGTTAGCAAGTCTTGAGGAGATGGAGAAGATTATAGGGTATAAGTTCAAGAAAAAGATTCTATTGCAACAAGCTTTTACACATCCAAGTTATCATGGCTCTGAATCGTATGAAAGACTTGAGTATGTTGGTGACTCCATTCTCAATTTTCTAATCAGTAAACAACAGTTCTTTATGTATCCGGATCTCCCACCAGGGTCGTTGACTGCTCTCCGAGCTGCCAATGTTGATACTGAGAAGCTAGCACGTGTAGCGGTTAAATATAACTTCCATAAGTACATACGCCATGAAAATCCGACGCTTAGTAAGCAAGTATGTTACTCCAGATAATGTGTTCTTCTAGTCCCTTTATTAGGTTTGTATTTTAAACTTGCATCATCTATGGCCTTTATAAATGTATCACTCAATCTACAATCTACAATCATCATTGCAAATTGCTTGGATTTTCTTGGAATCTACAAAGTGCTTTTTGAACTTTTTAGGGTAGAGGTCAAGTTTGCCTACATCTTAATCCCCGACCCCACCTCTGGGTGGGATACATTGGGCTTTTTGGTTTGGTTTACTGTTTTTTAGCTCTTTTTTCTTTCAAAGATGACTATTAGTCTTCATTCCTTGTTCTAGGGCTAAATCGATCTCCCATGATTAGATAGCAACCATATTTGGTCGCCTATTGCCACATGCAGCAAGAATCTCAGGTTTGACGCGATGGGTGCCATCAACTATCGATCTTTGTTGTGGGTCACACCATAAGAAAAATTTCTTCCCGACTTAAGTGTACGTGATGGTGGAGTCAGGCCTTCTGAACTTAGTCACAAACGTTGGAGCCAATGGTTAACCAAAAAGTCATAAACAAAATGTAGAAGGGCTTCACTACACTTCATATATGTAAAGGTTGCAACTATTATGTTGCTAAATGCTAGGAGCACCAGAGATGTTGCCCATGCAACTTTTTGGTGTTATGGTGAGTCTAGGGTGCGTATGGTACGTGGAATAGGATGAGATCGGACAGAACAAAAGCTTGTTGTCCCATGTTTGGTATGACATTAAATTGGTACAAGATAGGACTGAGTGGGACAATGATGCATTTTTTGTCCCACCAAATAGGTGGGAAAACATCAGGGAGATAAGACAAGATTGATAAATTACTAAACTACCCATGTCAAATTTAAACCCTAAAACCATGGACAGTTCTTTCACCCGCTTACCTCACTCTTGCCTGTCCCATCCTGTCTGGTCTTGTCTGCTTACCAAACTCATAGTGAAAGTCTCTTTGATTGTATAGTGAGGTGATTGTAACTGAAGGCGATAATTGAATCTTTATTGTGTTCTATACTTCCTCCGCCCCTAAATAATGTCAAATGAGACAGTTTTAGATATGTGTAATTATTACACTTTTTAAATAACCAAAGGACACTTTTACCCTTGATAATAGAGAGAGAGAGAGACTTTCTCCATCTCATAATAAAGGGTAGAATGGGAAAGTGTAAACTTATTTTTGATAGTAGACACTTATTTTGAGACAAACAAAAATAGTAATGTGCACACTTAATTTGGGACGGGGGAAGTATTAGATAGGCATTATTTGGTTGAACTGCCTCAAAAGTTAGTAATATCATGCATGCTGTAGGAACAAGGCTAGTAAAAAATTTAAGGTTAAGTCTGTGACATGATGCATTCATATTTGTTGCATGCTTAATCATGTTACACATCTAAACTTCTTTCTTTCTTACGCATACTTATGATTAATCTTGTACAGATTCGAGTCTTTACGAGAGCTCTTGAAAAGTACCCTCTACATTCATATGGATTAATCGATGCTCCAAAAACTTTAGCTGATATTGTTGAATCCACAATAGGGGCCATCTACGTCGACAGCAATTCCTCAATCGATACTACGTGGGAGGTTAGGTTCTTCTATTTTTTCCTTTTTCCCTTGCGTTAAAAGTTCTTCCCTCCTATAAATACTACAATTGTTAATTAGTTAGATCTGTGAGCTCCTTAGGGGGTGTTTGGGATTGCTTATAAAACACAACTTATTGACTTATTCCTGTGTGACACCGGTAATAAGCATTTTTGAGTGTTGGGATAAACAGCTTATAGCTATACTGGTGCCAAACCGGCAATAAGGAATTTTTAAAGAAGTTAAACCATTCTGACTTATAATAAGTTGATAATGACTTTTGTAGAAAAGCATAAGTTGTTTCAAATAATCAAATCCCAAACACCCCCTTAAAGCATCTCCAATCATACTCCCCACATTTAAATTAATGTAGTGAGTAATTGTTTTTTAATATAGTAACTCCAACCATGCTCCCTATATTATTAATAAACTTATCATGTACTTTAATACTGTTATTTACATTTTCTAATTATTAATAAAACAAATAAAAATAAAATAATATAGGTATATTGTAGGGAGCTCTGTGAGTGGGATAGTGTGAATTAGGTTCTATGCTGTTACAACGGTCATAATTCAAAATAACGGCCAAGAGTCAAGACTGTGATTTATATAGCGGTTATCACGATGATAAATTGGTGGTACAACAGTCCATATAATAATTAGAATTATATATAGGATTGGGTTTTCCGTCAGAAGGGAAGTTATAGTGAGAAGCGTAAGAAGAGATCTCCACCCTTGGATCAATCCTAATTGAATGTCAACACTAATGAGGTGCACCTATAACATATTTTAGTAGCAGTGAAATTGTAGTTGCTTGACTTCCAGTTTTTTGCGGTATTATTTACTATGATAGGTGGCTAAGATTCTACTCGAGCCCATGATCACTCCTGAAATGCTCCAAACGAACCCGGTGAGGAAGCTCAATGAACTCTGCCACAAAAAGAAACTGAAGATACGATTTAGAGATAAATGGCTAAAAGAAGGCGTGTACGAAGTTTTTATCGATAATAAACTTAGAGGAAGAGGTGAATACCAAGCCAAGAAGGAAATCGCGTTGAACAGAGCAGCCGAGGATGCATGTAACAACATCATCAACGGTCCAGATTGCTGAAAGTAGGTAACGCGTTATACGTTCATTCAACATTCTTTTTTGCCGTTAGAACGCGATGAACAACGTTAAATTTATATTGGTAATACCTCCAACTTAGTTGGATCATGTTGTTGTTTACTCATAAACATTAGCTTAAGTTTTTGATCCACTTGTTTCCAAGATCTATGAACATAAACTTTGATTGCACATGCCACAGGGACAGACCCAGGCGGTTTTTGTGTTGGCATGTGCCACCGTTTCGTTCCTCCGTTGTAATGTAAACAGTTATTGTCACTTTAGATCCCAGATTAAGGGGGGGTTTACCAAACTTTTTATCAAGTCCTGTTTGGATAAATTTGTCTGTCTGGATAAATGAGTGTTGTTTATTTTTTTATTTGAACCAACCGCCTGAATAACACAAATGGCCGATTTACCCCCCAATATTAATTATTTGAACATCAAAACAAAAAATCATAAAGAGGCCGAAGATGAGGTGTGTCTTACATGGGAAGGAGGCGGTGTTTTAAATAAGGGGCAAATGTGTTATTTTTGTGGCTGAATGGAGACAAAACACCATTTTTATCTGTGCGATTAAGCCGTAAAGTAAACAACCCAAATGAGTTGTGCGAATAAGTCAGATAGATCAATAAGTCTAATTAAGCCGCAAGTAAACAACCTCTAACACAACAATTCATGTAATTACACCCGATAGATATGACATTGAAGAACATAGTGTTGAGAGAGCACAAGTCGCCTTCAGATTATATATTCAATCAGCTCAATTACAAATTGGCTCTCATACTTAGTTCTAAGCCCAAGACACCTGTCCAATACAACTAGTAAGCCCAAAGCCCATACTACAATACAAAGTAATACAAGCTTAACAATCACTGTATCAAATTGTTGTGTGTCATCGTATATATTTTGAAACTACAATACGGACACAAGTTTTCATTGGTAGAGTTGGTTTGCAAGGCTTTTCTTCTGCCCCAGATCTGAGTTTGAATCCCGTTAGTGTAATTTTTTTAGTTTTAATTTTTAATTTCAAATTTATTATGCTTTTGAAAAAGAATTTATGATAAAAGACTTGTTACATATGAAAAATAATGAACTAACCAACAGACCAATGATGATTATTTGAAAAATATTCACATATTTATTTCTTATAGTCAAACGGTGCCACCACTAAATCAAACATAAATCAAAACATGAACACAACATTATCGGAAAACATCATGAACATATGAAGATAAACAACAAATTTGTACCATACGTTTAAAAAAATTGTGATACAAGACATGTAAAATCAAAACCCTAGTAATTGGTGACGACTTGTTATGCAGGATGATGGACGATGAAGATTTGTGTTACTCATCTTCTTCTGCATCTGCTTCGTTTCCCTTCATGTTCGGTCACTTGCATTTGCATCCTTCGCCGTCTTCTGCATGTATTTTGTGCCACCATCCTGATTAGAAGAGGACATTCGAGGACATATAAGGGTTTCTAAAATGGGTTTAGGCCTTGAGGAAATGCATGTTTGATCATTTGGTGGTTAGGGTTTTGGGGTTTTGATTATGAGCTCGATTTTTAGTTTTGGTTTTTCCCGGAAAAATAAAAAATAATTAATAATCAATTATAAAAGGTTAAACGAAGTGTAAAAATAACATAAATACTCCTACATGAGAGGGAGAGGGAGAGGGAGGAGGAGGAGGGGGAGGGGGAGAAGGTTGTGGAGATTGATATCCATTTTGTTCGTTTTCTTATAATTATGAGAGGTTGATTAATCATTTTTATTGTGGAGGGTGTTAATCATGGATACTATTATCTTCATTATTTTAATTTTAGAGAAATACATGAAACAGTTTCATTAAAATTTTATTAAGTATTATATGAAACAATTTTTATAACCATATATGAAACAACTTCATCAAAAAAAATATTATGTGAAACAATTTCATAAGATTAAACAATAAAATCGACGGATGAAGATGGTTTGCATAGTTTATACAAATTGGATAGTTTGTATTTGATCACTCCTCTCTCTCTCTCTCTCTTTATATATATATATATATATATATATATATATATATATAATTATGGAACGAAAACGAGACATTGAGATTTAACCAAATAAGAAAATCACTTAAATAAATGAAATAGGTTTAGGAAATCACCCAAATAATCAAATCATCAAGATAACAACAAATAAACATAAAAAAAACTAAGAAAGAAAACTTCAAGATCAAGGAAAATAAGCAAATTAGATAACTGGATGAGTAAATAAGAAACTAAGAATGAAAACACCTTGATTCAAGCTTGAAAGAAACTAACCGCGATTTGAGAACTGAGGGTGAGAGCCGACACCAGAGGTTAATAGATGAGTCAAGGTGAGAGGCGAGAGTAGACTGCCAAGAGCAATGGTGGATATTGACAGCACTGTACATCATAGGTGAGGGGTAAAAGGGTAATCGTGAATCGTGAGGGCAAAGGTGAGAGCGAGAGGCCAAGAAGGGTAACATATTTTTTGGGAAAAAAAATCAAATAAGAAGCCTACTAAACCCTATTTGACCGTTGGACCATGATGCCCTCTAGGCTTTGATGCTTTGGGCCACCGCCCTTTTCACCAACAATAAGGCCACCATAATATAGATATTTTAATATACTTCCCATGTATATATATATATATATATATATATATATATATATATATATATATATATATTGATTAACTTGTATATCCAACCCGCTATGTGAGCCGACTAATCGCATGACGACCACCTGCTTTGCAGATAGCCTGGAGCCACCGCATTTGAACCTCCGTGGCCACAATAGGATTTTTCTCATGTATATTTCATCCAAGAGATTTGTATTTACACCCTTAGAATGTAATACAAAGAGGTCACAGTGGAACTCTCTTACTTACCATAGTTGTGATTTTACTCTGTCAAGAACTGTGTAATATTCATTTTTCAGTACTGGAATTCTTTCGATGGTTTTCACTAACTGTGGTTTTCTACTTTTCTCCCGATCTGGGTTGCCACATTTACTTTGTGTTGGATGCATTTTCAGTAAGTGAATCATCACATTTCTATGCTTTGAGAATTTTGTCTTAATACACTAAGAACACCCTCGAGTGTTCAAGCTATAGATTCATTAAGATCAGTAACTTATCCCTTATTTGACTTTATCAAGTTAGTATTATCTTCTACAATAATAACCTAATGCATAATTTCCTCTAAAGCACATGGATCAAAAATAAAGATGAATTTCAAAAATTGAACTTTAATATAAGGGGGTGTTTGAGATTGCTTATTTGAAACAACTTATGCTTTTCTACAAAAAAACTTATCAACTTATTATAAGTCAGAAGAGTTTAACTTCTTCAAAAACTTCTTATTACCAGTTTGTCACCGGTATAAGTTGTTTATCAAAACACTCAAAAGTGCTTATTACCGGTGTCACACCGGAATAAATCAATAAGTTGTTTTTATAAGCAATCTCAAACACCTCCTAAATATAATAATTATTAAATCCAACTTGTCAAAATATATTAAGACCAAACCCACAAGTGTATGTATTTATTTACTTATTTAATTTTAATTTAATAGGAAATATTCTTAAAATATTACCTACAACATTAATAGGATCATATTTATTTATTCTTTCATTTAAAAGGAAATATTCATGACGATTAAATTAAATGTATCCTTAAATGTATTATTGCTTTTCTTTTAACTTTCACTTGTCTTCACATTCTGAAAATAAGGGTGTTTGAAAAAATATTGTATTGATTAAACAGATCGAACCAAGTTAAATCAAACCATTTTTGATGGTTTGTGCAGTCTGACGGTTCGGTTCAGTTTGAAAAATAGTTAAACCGTTTGGTCTAGTTTGGTTAGCGGTTTGGATGTTTTTGTGAGAGGTTTGGACCAAATTGGCCGTAAAAAATACACATGTATTAATTAAAAATTTAGTTTTCATGTTGTATTTTGAACATTTATGGGCCAATAAAAAATTCGTTCAAGATATTATGTTTTTAATTTTCATTTCTCAATTGACCGTGCGATGTAAATTGACAAAATTTCGGAATCCGTCAAAAATCAAATATAAAATTATAAATCGTCCTTCGACTTGCTCAATGTTGTCCAAAACTCTGACTGTCTTTTTGTGATTCGGTTTGACCAGTTTGGTCACTTGCTGAGTTGATGGCAAACCCCTCGATTTGGAAATTTTCCTAAATGGCCATTGCGGTTTGGTTTGTGATTTGAGGGATTAAACTACTCGAACCGGACTGCGAACACCCTTACCTAGAAATACCAACCAATAAAATTCAGAATAGTTGTAAGAAAACTCGAACCGACAACCTATGCAAAATAGTCTTGACACATAGTTTCTATTCATTGGCTGAGTTCGCCATCAAAATTAATATACTATTTATTTGATTGTCATCGAAATCGTAAAATTATAAATGTTATTTTCGGTCACATAAGAATAAGACGTTTGATCTACAATGTTTTATTATTCATCAAATTACAAAGTAAATTATGGATTTAGTCCCTGTAATATGTGATATTTTAAGGAATTGGTTTCTATAACTTTATTTATTACGTAGAGCACCCGGGGATATACACCTTTTTACGGAATTAGTCTCTTGACTTCCTTTGCCCTGACGTCTGTCCACTTGCCCAGTTAAACATGAGTGCAAATTTGTATCTTCGCCTTTCCCTACATTTCAACATTTCTTTTAACTTATTTAAGCGTTAACGTGGATCTTCATCTTCTTCCTGAAAACAAACCCTACTCAAAACACCAATCAAACCTGAATGAACACATAAATCCAAACATGAAAGATGACATGACATGTAGATTGAGATTAAAAATCAAACACCAAATGGTTTTTCCTTTCCCATATCTTTGTTGGTTTCCGCAATATCCGTGGAGATACCCTCTCAACTTGCACCATCCCCATCCCTGAAGTTCCATTGAGATCGCCCTATATGCATTGTGTTCGTTCTTGCCCCTGAATCCATTCTTCATCTGGCATCATGCCCCCATTGTTGCTCTGAAGAAACATGAAGATCGCCCCCCAACTTGCATATGTTCATCTTTCTTGCTTGAATACACTGGCCATCGACCCCCAATGTCTTTTTTGGATGCTCATGTGGTTCAAACTCTTCCTCTCTCTTTCACTCGACGAAAAAACCTCCCCCATCTTATTTCTTCGATGAACATCCCTCTTTTTCTCTCTTCTAGGTGTTTTCTTGTGCCACCGTTCTGCTTACGTATCTGAGCCA